TTTGTGTGGCGGGCCTGGCCACCGCGATGGCCGTTGGAGTGGAACGGCGGAGGCGGCTCGTGGCCACTGGCTTATGGGGGAGGCTGAGAGGAGCCCAGTGCTCTCTAGGCTGGAGGTGGCGGAGGCTCCAGCACTGTCCTGGTGCCCCAGATCGTGGAGACCAGAATTGCAGGCCCAGAAACCCACCCACATCCTCCACAGCTCACCGCGCATGCACAGGCGCATGGGGGCCTGCCCTTTTGCGCACATGAGCTTTATTTTCCAGAACTTCGACATTTCCAATACATTTAGGAGTAATATTAGGGTTAAAAAACAGACTTTCTTCTCAAGGCCATTTGCTGGTAATAGCAAAAATCTCTCTTTAAAAAACAAAAAAAAAAAATTAAAAATTTCATCTCATAGTTTTCTGGTACAATGGATGAATTACTGGCCTGAAGTAAAACAGAAAAGAGTAGAACTTCACCATGTGTTTAGGGGCAACTAACTGTCTAAACCGTATCTACTACTGACTTTCTACTTTGTTAGGTCAAAATACACATAAACAGTGAAAAAATCAAATTTTCCATTATAAATTTGTTCCTCAGAAAAACGTCAGATCCCAAACAGCAAGCTAACTATGGAAGTATGTATGTGTCTTATTAGCTTGGTATTGATTTATAAGTTAACTGTGAGGTAACCAAAACTTACAACTGTGAACTAACTCTAAAAACAATTGAAATCCATTCATTCATTCAGTTTTGTACATTTTTGTCTCTAGGAAACCTGTGGATTTTAAAAGCAGATTACTACAATCCTCTAACATTATGTATCTTCTACACATGTAAACTCTTATCCCAGAGGTTGTCAAAAGTCTCATTCTATTGTACCATCAGTTCAAGGCCTATCTCTTTAATGGAATTCTCTCTAGCTGTGGACTAATCTCCTTGGTATAGATTCTTGAGCTGTGATCCTTCGTTTGTAGAAATGAGAGATTCAAGAATTCTCTGTCCCCAGCAACACCAATATATAATGTCCAGACAGACACAGAATAAGTTCTGTAAACGTTTCTATTCAAGGAGGTTGGAGGGAGATGAAAAGGAATCTCTGGCTCATAGCAGTTCTGAAACACATCCGGGTACATGCTGAGAGTTCCTTGATGAGGTGTTCATGTCTGTGAATAGCCTCTCTTGGCTCTTGAGTTCACATCCTCAGCACATGTTCAGTATTCCCTCCTTTTTCATGAAAGGTAGTGTTTGCATGTGCAGTGGGGCCATCGTCTCAGCCTGCTCCCTACTGGTAGAGCTGGGGGGAGGGAGGGTTAATGGCCTCACTTTACTGTGTTTTCTTTGTCCATTTCATCCTTGATGGCAGTATGTCTGCTCAGAGTTCTCGAAAACTGTGGGCTTCCTGTGAATCTCATTGAGATGCATTAATTAAACCCAAGCCACACTAAAAATTTCGCTGAAAGGAGTCCTTTCCTACTTTGTGCTTCTACTGAGGTGGCTAAAAGACAAGGCACCAAAACTTCCAGAGGCCCCATGTTTTTTCTTTTTGAATTATTAATTTTTGCCAGAGGGAATATGCATTCACCAAAGAAAGAAAGAGATAGGTGAGAAAGAGATAAGTGAGAAAGAACTTGTCGTGGGACATGGTCACACTGCAATCTCCTCTCCATTTCTCCATCCTTTAGGGATTTTGGACACATAAACACACGCGCGCATGGTTTTTCCTCAAGCAGTCATGTCCAGGACTCAAACCACGCAGTTGGTCACATGGGGTCCAGCCCCCTTAACCACCACGCCATAGGCTAACAGATGCCCCCCCCCCTTTATTTTTAGAAACACCCTTACTCTTTTTCAGGGGATATATGCATAACTGAATAATACCTTGATTCTTTGATCTTTCTGAACTCTGAACTATTTTTACAGTCTCCCTCTTGGCCTTGACTCTAGGCCATGATACCCTGACATTACTTCTACTCTGTTTCTTAATTTTAACAACGTTTCTTGTCTGGAGTAAGTGAGAAGTTTTGGTATGACCAAGTTGTGGTTACTTTCTGTTTAAGAGTTCGCATCTCAATTTCTTTCCTTTCATATTTTATATTGCCCGTAAGAGTTAGATTATCAACCTCATTAAATATATTTTCTTTCTACATCATGCAGAGGACAACATGCTAAATTGTACGCCACTAAATAAAAAGGGTCCTTCTTCCTCGAGTTTCCAACAATTCATTCCTCACTACTTCTTGAGCCCTTATCAGCAAGGTCCCCAGAACCCAGGGTTGTACTCATGGTTGGTCTGCCCCAAGCAATTAGAGCTTCCTCTGTCATGGCAGTCAACATTCTTCCATAGCTCTTCCTCTTTTTGGTTCTCCAGACACTTACATTTTCAGATATTTGCACAGGTGCACCAAATTTCCAGTTATCAATATATCACTTATCTACAAATGCATAATAAATTACCATGAAATGATACACTTTTACTAAATTATAGTTTCTATGGGTCAAAAGAGTGATCCATCTTATTGCGGTTCTCTGCTTCAGTCTCTTATAAAGCCATGATCAAAGTATCATCTGGGACTGATGTCTCTTCTAAAGTTCTAAAATAGAAAGATCATCTCCATAACTCACGTGTGGTCAGAATCCAGTTCCTCAGGGGTTACTGCATTGAGTGCCTCATTACCCAGAATCCCACACTTGCTTTCTTTGTGGCCTTCTACAAGATGACAACTCAGCCCCCAAGCAAGCCGTGTAAGAAGACAGGAGACAGAGTTCATGGGAAACAGACATCATTGTCTCCTGTGATATTCCATCACATTTGACTTATTCGGGCTGGTGTAAGTAAGCCATTGGATGCAGCCCACAAAGGGAAGGCATTACACGGAAGGGACTGCACCAGGCATGAACACCAGGAAGCAGGATCCCTGGGATCCACTTTAGAATGTGGCCCCCACAACAGCAGGTTTCCTATGCAGTAAGGACCGCTAACCCAAGATAGAAAAATTAGCTACCATAGGAACCAGTTCAAGGCTTTGCCTCTATCCATAAAATTATCCACAACTTCACCAATTATCCAAAACACGATGGATATTACAGATAACATGATCCCTAACAGTGTGAGGTTTTGTCTGTAAGCATACATTATTGAACCCGAGGCTTAGTTTAATATTGTATGGTAAACTATTGTCAGTACCCAGTTCAGATCCACTCAGTAAAAACGTGATAGTTATCAATGAATACCACACCTTATGATGAACACAACTTGATACAGTAAACATCAGCTAGCACGTGTTGTCTACATGTGTGGAGCACACACATGATCATCATCTCTTCCATGTGTTTAATGGATGACCCAGTGGTTATGAATGGACATATGTGACCTTGACAATACTGATAAACTGCAGGTTGAAACTCACTTTTATAAATATTCTTATGTAGCCAAACACCAGCTAATCTTCCACAAAGAACATCTCTAGGAACAGAAGGTAGAACATCCCTGCTCATTTTGTTTTTTAATATCAGTTTTCAAATACATAGTCATAGATGGTGACAGAAATGTTGTTTGATGATCTAAAACCAGGAAAAAACACCAAAATAAAAGCATTATATTGCATAAAAATGCATCCTGATTAACATAATTGTCACATAATTAAAATGCACTGAACTCAGTTGTGCAAACATGAATTCCTTTCCTATGACAGAGCTCAACTTTGTTCTCTAGCCTTTGGTTGTCTTGGAGAACTATTTTTTTTTTTTTAGTTTTTTTTTTGCTAGAGGGAATGTGTACTCACCAGAGAGACAAAGACAGAGAGACAGAAAGTAAGAAATCACCCCCAGAGGGATGGCCATGCCACAATCTCTTCTCCTCCATTCTCCTCTTAGAATTTTGGGCACACACACACATGAACTCAACATGCGTTTTAAACCACCAGGTCCAGGACTCAAACCACAGTTGACTACACAGGAGTCCAGCAACATAACCATCACACCATCTTCTTTTCCCAAGTACTCATCATATTTTAAAACATGTATTGAGAGAATTCATTACCTGCCCCAACATGGATAAACTAGATTTTATAAGTCTGATCATTTAATACCCAAAGTTTTCAGAAGGGCTGATTGGGTTCATACTTTGTATATCTTCTGAGCCCCTCCTGATTGTGCCTCTGGTCCCCGTCATGATCTACACTCTGCACGTCTCTGCAGTACACAGACTTCATTTTGATCCCATACTTCTTTCAACATAACGATATTTCTAGTAATCTGCATTTGTCCCTTAAATTTTGGGAACCCTTAATCCCCTCAATGTAACAAGCATACCAAAGGTTTTCCCACAGAAACTTCATTCAACAATTTAGAATCTGTCACTAGAAAGGCTTCTCCTAAAAGCTGATAATATTCCTAGAGTATGTCCTGGAAAATAATCTAGGCTCTTTCTTATTCTTGTACTCACTCAAATCTAAGATTGAATCTCATCCTCAATAGAAACCCTCATTCTTAGCTGTTGATACATTATGTGCTTTACATTTTTGTTTCTTGTGGAGACTCCTCTGTAGGTCTCAGTCAGATTACAGGTGGGCGGATAGCTTCCTAACCCATGTGTGATGCTTTGAGGTTTGTGGAAGTACACTCAGATCAATAGGGTGTGTGTGTGAGGGGGAAATGGAGCAAGAAAAATCTTACCTGTGAAGTTCAACTTTGGTGAACACAGACAACACATTTATGTTGGGTTCTTACAAAGGACAAATACCTTACATCTCAATTTACACGAGGACAAGGAAACATCATCTGAAGACTGAACAGGTATTTGTGGCCAGAAACTCAGTTCTAGTTATTCCCTTCAGAAAGAAGTGATGCTACCAACAGTCTGGGTTGGTCTTCCTCCCACTATGTCAAAGCCGGGGTTGGAGGGAGAGGAATCATGGGTACGGGAGAGGTACGGTTGTAGGTGGGAGCAGTTAGCACGGTCACGGGCATCTGAGGACAGGCAGCAGTGAACTGTGGAATGTTTTCAGCTTCAAATGTAATAGCCTCCCCAGGCTAAAGAGAGACAAAGGGACCAGCTGCAGCGGCACAGGCAGCAGGGCCCCGGTCTATATCCAGGGTTCACATGGACACGCTCCGTGTGCCCACGTGCACATGTGGCCCTGACTGGTCAGAAGGCTGCAGGGGATCATGGCGTGGTGAGACACTCTCAAGAGCACCTCTCTCCAAGGAAAGAAGGAAGGAAGGAAGAAAGGAAGAGAGGAAGGGAGGGAGGAAGGAAAGGAAAAAGAAACATTAAAAATAATAATAACAAAAGAGGTAATGCTGTTTCTTTGCTACTGAAGAACCATGGTGAATAGAAGAATCCATAGATACAAGTTTGCATACTTTCAGTCATAGGATTTATTTTGTTTTGTAAAATTGAAAAGTTTAAGCCATGATGACAACAGAGGAGAACAGGTTTTTCTTAATTCTTGGATCAGACCAGTTAATGGTGAGCCTCTTGGTAATATCCTTTCTCCAATATATGGCCTTATATTACACAGTTACTGTCATAAAAGAAATAGAGTAAAGTAAATTTTCATTGTTAATAAAAACTGTCTAAATTCACTGTACAACTACAAGTATAGCAACCACTTAGAATCAGACACTGGACATACTGTCACAATCTCAGCCTGGGATCCAAGACATATGTAAGCCAAACTGTCCTTTTCATAAATAGTTGGTGATTGCCCCACTAAGAAGAAACACATAAATTGGTATTTACATGTGTCATTTATACGGCCTTTCAATTTTACATGAGTTAAAGAAAATCACCAACAAGCAAACAGAGAAGAAAAGAATGATATAAATACGACAAGAACTAGAAAAATTACTATTAATTTGCGTGTTTTTCTCTGCAGAGGAAGAGTGTTCTCACAAGGACTCTGTGCCTTTCCTACAGGTGTCCCACAGGCACAAGTTCAAAACCCGCTTCCTTCTTCTCTCCCTCCCATTTCCATACCAGCCTGGGTCTTCCCCTCCTCTCTGGTACATGGTAAATGCTGTCACTCCTCATTCTGTAGGAGATGCTGGTGTCTTTGCAGCTCTCTCTTTTATTCCAACCCAAACACATCCATCCAGTCGGTGCCCCAGTAGAATTGACTTCTGTCAGATCTCTCAAAGTCTTTCTGGTCTTGTCTTCTTACCCAGTCCTGCCCTCCTCACACCTTTTCTGTGAATTCAGCAGTGTCTCAGCTGCTTTCTTTCCAGTCCCAACAGAATCTATTTTCCCTGAACTTTATCCCATGAAAATGGTAAAATCAAACCACATCACATCAACTCCCTGGGGGTGGGGGGGCTACTCCTAAGAAATACTTCATGTCCTTATTCACATATAAGGAAATCTGAACTCCTTATGAGACCTCTCTGCTAATGATTACCTATGCACATTTCCTCCCTCATGATTTATAATTAAAAATGAATTTTTAAGAAATATTAAAAACAAATTCTGGAACCACTGAGGCCTGCTTTTATAGTCTACCCTTGCTATCTTTTTGCTTTATATCAGAACATATTATTTAACCACTTTGTCTTACATTTTATGAGCAAACTGTCAACACATCCTGTTGAGTCCCCTTCAGAATTTATCTGTGAGACCACCTTTACCATGCCAACCTGAAACGCTGTTTTTCCTCTCCTGAATTATTACAGTAGCTTCTCCACTTCTACTCCTGCCATTACGCAAACTATTTTCAAGAAGCCATCCTTTCAATATGTAAGTCATGTCCTTGGAATTGAAATCCTGTAATGATTACTTGCTTTTACTCAGAGCAGAAGAGATGGCTCTCATTACCTCCAAGACCCTACAAGTCTTTCTCTTCTGAGCTAGTCACAGCTGCAGACCTCTTGCTAATTCTGCTCCAGATAAATTAATATTTCTGTTATTCATCAAGTACTTCTGACTTATTTTTGCACCACCTAATCCATGTGCTTGGGAAGCTACTGCCCAGATGAGCGCATGGACAACCTGCCAGGCCTAAGCCTGTGTAGGTTAAACTAGATTTGCTATTCACGTCGATTGGAAAGCTTTATGCTCATCTCATAGAAAATCTGGGTATCTGATTTCAAATTTTTTGCCAAGGAAAGAGCAGTAGGTCTTCTGATAGGATACTTAAAGTTTAAATCAAAAGAGGGGCTGGATGGTAGCACATGGTAAAACATGTCTCTGAGGCTGACCCTCATGGGAATGTTTCCAGGTCACCTCTGGAGACCTGAGTACACTGGGCGTGTGTATGCCCTGACCCAAGACTGGCTGAAGCTGCGGGTGGCCTGCATCACTGAGATCCTGGTGGGGCTGACATCTCTCTGTCTCTCTCTCTCTGTCTCTGTCTTGCTTGTGGAAGAAATAATCTTTCTTTCTTTACTTATTTATTTGTAGAGGTTTTTGTCTTAGGGTGCAAAAAGACAGAGACAGTGAGAGGAAAAATGAGAAATTATCCCCTCGCCCCCTGCAGGATGGCCATGCCACAATCCCTTCTTCATTCTCTTCCTAGGATCTTGAGCATGTGTGCACACACACCCATCGTGAATTTCAAGCTACCAGGTCCAGGGCTTGAACTGCAAGTTGGCCATGTGGAAGTCCAGAGACGTAACCACCATTCCGTCTGCTGGCCCCAATAAATAGGCTTTCCAATTGCTGAAATTTGAAATTGTGAGACTTTGTGCCTCTCTAATCCTCAGTGTTCAGTGGCAGATAAGGAAACACAGACCCACTAAGTTAACTATCAATCAGAGTCAGACATGGGGAAGCAGCAGGTGTATAACGAACGCTCGGTCTCACTCCTGGTCGGATTTGTCAGGGCTTTCATTTATTCCCAGTAATAGATAAAACATGTGAAACATCATTAGCTCTTTAATCACACAAATTAGAACTTTGGAGATGTTAGATAGATGGAAGGTGTATTTCTCTGAAGTTAAAAGTTAAATTCTTATCTGTCTAACTATAATATTTCTATCAAAATCTGCAAATATATTTTACTTGTGCATACACACACCTATTTCATCTCACTTAAGTTAAAGAACTGTCCATCTGCCTTGGGAGAAGAGTGCTTTTAGCATTTAATATAAATTTAATTCGTTCTCAGTCAAGTATCAGGGTATGCATATTTAGAGTGTAGCATTCAAGAATTTTAACTGGAGTATGAATGCCTTAATATAAACCCCACCTTCAAAACTTACTAAAATTCTATACACATGGGGTCAGCATGTGGTGTGGTGGTTAAGGCACTGGACTCCTACATGGCCCACCATGGTTCAGTCCTGGACTCAGCAGCTTGAAACTCAGCTGGGCACATGTATCTGCATACCTAAAATCGCTAGAGGAAAATGGAGAAGGGATTGCAGTGTGGCCATCCCCACTGGGGGCGGGGGGTAACCTTCTCCTTGTCCTTGTCTCTACCTGACAAGTGCACACACCGTATGGCAAAAACCAAAACAAACGGAAAAATTCTGTACACTTGGGGAACCATCTAAATCCTTGATGTCCGTTTCCTCATTTATAAAATAAGAATTATTGTACCCACAGAGTCTCAATGAGAAAAAAATAGAAATCTGGGGAGAAAATTAATGTAAATATACCAATTAGAACCTTAAATGAGAAGGCAATGTAACTGTTCATAAATACTTTAAGAAATACTTACAATATCTTCAAAATAATTTATTATAATAATATTACTTAGTATTATCTTGGCTAATATTAGTTAACCTTAAATATTTCTAAATTAACATAAAACAAAATGTCACTGTTTCAGCTCAGTCTTTGTTTTAACTTATGCCAATCAATAAGGTTCGGGGTGATCAAATAAGGAAATAATAATCTCCTTGTACTGGGATATCACTAAAAACTTTCACTTTGTGAATTATATCATTTTTTTCAATATTCTGATTCTGTCAGTTCACTTTTACCTCTATGACTGGTTGCTGTGGTTACTGCTGTCTTCTGATATAGTACTGTGTAAAAGAGATAGCATTGTTTTAGGGGTTAGCAAACACTAATATTGAACAAAGTCAAGAAAAATTTAAAAAAAAAATAAAAGGAAAGAAAAGAAAACCTGGATTTGTGTTAATTAATTAATGAATATGCACCAATTCCCACTTTGCTCCCCATATTCCAGTATTTTGACTTTTTATAATGTAAGTGTAACCTCTAAAGACATTAAGCATTGTTCTTCAGATTCAAACTATAACTCCATTGTTTTATCTATATAGAGGGTGAGATGAAATAGTAACATAAATAACACTGCTTCTCTACACTCAAAACATCAAAGTCTTACCTCATTATCTGTCTGATTATACTATTTCTACCCAAAACTACAGGAGTAGCTAGCTACACATGGGGCTATGAATTCACTTCCATGAGAGACCTTAATGAGAACTCTGAGTCTTGTCAGCTGCCTTCCACCTTGTGGTATTTCTACACCTCCCCCGCTCTCTGGAATACTCCAACCCACACAGTCCCTGTCGAAGAGGGCAGTCATATGGTCCAGGCTCCCACTGCATGGCGACAACTGCTTAGCCAGAGGTGATGAGGTCGGGCTTGGTCAGAGTTGAAGACCTAACTCAGGGCTGCAGGTCCAGGCAGACCCCGGGTAAGCGTAGGCGCTTTGCACAGCTATTTCCTTCTGTCTCCGGAAAATACGCACTAAGAGGCCCTGGCTACTGAAAGGCCGTTGGCATTTGGTTTGAAAGCGGATACAGGAAGGGTTCATATACATTTTCTGGGCCAAATGCAAGCAGACCATCATCACCCAAGCAACTCCAGATTTTTCCAAGACACGTCCGGTGAGAGCACAGGAAGACATGCCAGCCGTCGCCAACTAAGTCTATTTATCACAGTTGGAGGATTTTATAAATATGCATATTAATCAGGAACATGACCCTGAATTAACTAGTCACTGCTCACTTTCTGATAAATAAAATGAACTACCCTGGGAAACCGAGGTGTTCACGGAAATTTTACAGCATCATTCTATCTCCATCCACACAAGTGAGGAACGGAAAACCATTTTCCTTCGGCCTGGAACAAGACTCACCCACGTACCCTCACTTCTACCCTGGCAGGGCCCTGAACAGCGGCTGAGCCAGTTGTGGCTTGTGTTGGTGTTACGGTGGAGGGAAGAACGGAACAGGGACCTTACCATGGTTCAAATACAGAACAACACTCATTATGTGCAGCGTGCAGAGTACCCTTCTGTCTTCCCTGTCATTCCATGAGATCTACTTTCCCCCACCTTCCATATAGTCTATTCACAAAATCTGCTTCCCTGTCCCTACTGATCTCCTTGGCAGGACTGTCTGCCAATGCAGGGAAAACGGGGAGTAGGCAGAACCCCTTAAGTTTACTATAGCCAACGTGACTTTCTGTTTGAAAGGAACTGAGGATTTCCTGAGTAGCTTCAATGGCTCTTGGCCCTGGAGGAACATGAGGGTTACCTGTCTGAAATCTGAAAATAACTGTGGTAAATACTGAGACCTTTTTACTCAATATTTCTAAACATTGACCCAATTCATCCAAGCATTCCTTCTTATAATAGGCTTAATTACATCTGAATTCTTCCCATAATTCATTTTTAATATTAAATAAAAATAATGATTACTTACCTATTGCTCGTTGTTCTCACTGTGTTCCAAACTCCTTTTATATCATCCCATTTAATAACAAGGATGGCAGTTAAAGTGAGGACAGGTAGAAAAACGTAGAAACTGATCAAAAGGCCATTTTTTTTATGACGAACACGTTGATTTAAATACAAGGGCATACCTTTGTCTGAAAATATGAGAGAAGCTTTTATTTCTTTTTCATATATTGTACTCAAATTATACTAGTAATTTGAATTTTAAAATTTGGACTTTAATACTTTAATTCCTCTTTTCTATGAAGTCTACTATTCTACTACACAATGCTAGAGGCCATATATGTAGTTCCCCTACTGACCATGCCATTACAACTGGGTCAGTAAGTGTTTTATATATTCTAGATACAAGTTCCATGTCAGCTGTAGGATCTGAAAATATATTCTCTCATTCTATAGTTTGTCTTTGATTTTCTACATTGTCCCATTTGTTTTACCTATGTTGTTAAGTTTGATAAGGTTCAGTTAGTTTATTGTTTATTCTATTGTTTCTTTTCTTTTCTTGCTTAGTATGTATACACATACATGCATACACACACATATATACACTTACACACACGCATATATATTACACACACATACACACACACACACACACACACACATATATATATCAGACCTTGTTTTATAAAAAGCCTATAGAAGGTCCAGCAGGTGGCATAGTTGTGGCACTGGACTCCCACATGGCCAACCATGGTTCAAGTCTCACACCCAACTTCTTAAAACTCACACTGGGCACGTGTCCCTGCATGCCCAAAATCCCAAGAGGAGAATGGAGAGGGAATTATGGTGTGACCACCAACCCCCCCCGGGGGTATGTCATTTTTTTCCTCTCTCCCTCTCTCTGTCTCTGTGTCTCCAAGAAGTGCACATGCCCAATTGTAAAAATCTCTCTTTTAAAAAAAAATAAGCATATAGTTTGGTAAAAGACAAAGAATGAAAGAAGACATAAAATTCATACTGTAAGTGTAAGAAATTCATGAATCGACAATATTAGCATTAGAAAAACAAATTTATTTGAGAATTATTTCCAAACACAAAAATCAATTCATGATGATAAATGGTCAACTCATCATGAAGACATATTGCAGTAGCTCCAACAACATATGTAGCCTATGATGTAGCATCAAAGATGCACGGAGGGGCCAGCAGGTGGCACTAGACTCCCATGTGGTCACCCACAGTTCAAGTCCTAGACCTGGTGGCTTCCTTTCTCACTTTCTTTCTCTCTTTCTTTCTCTGTGTCTCTCTCTGGTTGAATTAAAAATAACAATAATAATAAATAGTGAATAGATAATTCTTAAAAATGCATTAAAAAGTGGCAGAAATACAAGAAACATCAGACAAATTTATAACCATAGAGATATTAATTCACTTACAACAGTAAATGGTAGAACAATAAAATAAAATTGATTATTATGCAAGATACTTACAGTTTTACCCACCTTTGTAATAATAACTATTAATAAAACATTATGCCTAAAACTACATTATTTTCATATGTACATGGGATATTTGGCAAAATAAATCATCATATACTGGTTCATAAAATAAATCTCAAGAAAACTGAAAAATAGCAACAAGAAAGAGTAAATTCTGTAGACATAATAAGTTAAACTATGAGGGTCAGCAGATGGTGTACTGGTCATGTTGCTGTACTCCCACATGGTTGACCATGGTTCAAGTCCCAGATCCAGTGCCTGAAACTCATGCTAGGTATGTGTACATATATATGTATATGCATGCATGCCCAAGATCCCAGGAGGAGAATGGAGGAGAAGAGATTGAAGCATGGCCATTCTCCTGGGGAATGATTTCTCACTTTCCTTCTCACTGTCTCTGTCTATCTCTCTCTACAGCAAGTACCTGTTCCCAAAGGCAAAAAACCTCTTTAAGAAAAAAAAAAAAGTTAAACTATGAATCAATTGCAAAAGTATTATGAGAAATTTACCAAGTATATGTAAACTATGCATCTTCCTTATATATAACCAGAGAAACAAAGGGAAAATTTTTTTATGCTATCAGGAATTTTAAAAAAGGAAAAATCATAAAAAAATGACAAAACCTTGGGGCCAGTAGGTGGTATAAAGGTCAAGGTGTTGTACTCGCACATGGCCAACCGCGATTTTAAGTCCCAGACACAGAAGCTTGAAATTCGAACTGGGAGCATGTGTGTGCATGCCCAGAATCCCAGGAGGAGAAGGGATTTGTGTGGCCATCCACCCTGGGGAGGTAATTTCTCACTTTCTGTCTCCCCAGCCATTGTGCCATCTGCTAGTCCCAAGCATGCCAAAATGTTATAGTCTTAAATATAGATGAAATAAAGTTAAAGTCAACCATTTTTCCTTAAATTAACTGAAATTATTTTCTCTGCTACCTACTACATCAATTCCTAAAATTCTAAACTATGGGAGGCAAAAGGACACGTTTTCCCAACCTTCTTGACATACATATTTTTCTTAACCTTCAAGTCTTTAACACGTTGGCTCCAAGCTCCAGGCTAAGCTGCTCATACATGTAGTTAATGAGAAATTGGTTGCAGCCGTGACATGTTTGCCTTATGAGCTCATACTGCAAGGATCCTGCTCATTTAGACGATTCTAACTACATAACCAAAGGTTTAGTGAAACCAATTATGTTTTGTTTGCTTATGACTCTTCACCCAATACATGTGAAAATGTTTCGTGCCACATACTATTCACGTGCCACTGGTATGGAAGATTTGGTAACGTTTCCTTTCAGGATTAACTAAGAGAGACAACTTGGTTGGGACCTAATACATAGCAACGGTGAACATCCTTTGAATACACATACCCTATAATAAAATGACCTTTTCTATCATTTTCATTATATGTATATTTTAAATCTCTGCTGTAGGTATAGAAATATCCTGGGAACCATGGCTGAAATGAAAAGGAGGTCTTTTCAATGTGCTCTGTGGATTCTCACCAGAGGCGCACACGCAGACCCAGTCCGGTGGCACTGTTGGTAGCACCTGAACGGCAGAGCAGGAAGCCACGTGGCTGCCGGTTTGAATTCCCACTCTGAAAATACGTCCCATGTGTGTTTGAGTACCCAAGATCCTGACAGGCTAGAGGGCTGGGAAAAGGGCATCAAGCCACGATGAGATCCTGTTGAAGGTGCCTCTCTCTCTCTTTTCCTCTCGCTTTCTCTCTTTCTCATGTGGGTGCAGATGTTTTCCATCATGGGTAAGTTAAACAACTTAACAAAGTTAAGTCTCCTCATAATCTTGGCTAAAAGTATGATCTAGAACGGCACTGTCCAGAACAGTAGCCACCAGCTACCATGGCTATTTAAGTTTAAGTTAAATTAAGTACAATAAAATTGGAGTTTTAGTTCTTTGGTTGCACTAGTCATAAGCCAGACTCTCAATAACCAGAGAAAATGATGGAGAGGCAAACCATTTCTGTGAGGGCACAAAGGTCTAAAACAATCAACTAAACTGGGCACAGACCTGAAGGAAGCCAATACCCATCATCGATACTTCCTCCTGGTGACAACTGCATTTCTTCACAATTCGGAGGAGCATAGCCTTTATCACAGTGACAATTGAGAAGATTATTGCAAACCTGAAGCCAAACCCAAATAGAAAAGAACATCTGCATTCAACATAAAATTAAATGCATTATTTATGATTTTCACTAGTGACATATAAATTAGTAGATTAATATAATTTGGCATATTATAAATATTTTTAACTTAATGAGAAAAATATTTAAAGTTAAAAAGTAAAATAAATAAAGATCCATTAAATATTTTCTTAAAAATCAGAGAATAGAAAATCCAGATAAAATTTCATGTAAATACAAAATAAGAAAGAAAATTAAATGTGAATTAGAAAGAAAAAATAGTGAACTCCCCCCCAAAAAAAACCCTAAATTACATGTAAGTAATTTAGGAAAAAACATTCATTTATGCAAGACAGGCAGACAAGTCGCTATTTTTCTGAATTATTATGTAAAAGAGAAGGCATCAGCTTGGAAAAGACACTCACTGGTCACAACGTTAAATTCAAACACATGCTTTGATGTCAACACGGCTGACTAGAAGTTTCTAGAACACTTCACTCTCACAAGAAAGAACCAACATCCGGAGAAAAACCTGATAGCTGCTCAGAGTAATTGAGCCAGGAAATGGCATGCATTCATAGAAACTCAGAATGGACTTACAGACAGGGATAGAGGCGCCCCCTACCTACCACTCCTCCACCAGTCAGAAGCACCTTAGCACAAAGAGCTTTTGCAAGCAAGGAAAAGGGGAGTAGGACACCCCTGGCAGTCACCGTGGATGCCACAGACACCTGGAGTATTTGCTGCTGGAAAACCCCCTAGGCCATCACAGGCCCTGAGTCCAGACAGTACAGATTATTCCACAGCTCAAGAGCAGGAGCCCAGCCCACGTTCTGCCAGTGCCTTCTTGAGTCCTGGCCACCTGGGGCCTATGCCAAACACCACGTCGGCATCGATACCAGCCTGCCCCACACCCCAGGCGGGCATCGATCCCAGCCTGCCCGTCTGATACCCACCAAGACAGGCCTTTAGCCTGTGCCTAGCCACACACCAGTGCCAGGAGTGGCTCTGCTCACCCACAGCGATTGAAACAGCCCAGTGTCCTGCCTTCAACCTCAAAAGCCCCCAGAGACGCAGGAGTAACTCCACACAGCCACAGACTGCCCTTGCCTCCACAGCAGCCAGGTCTGAGCTGACAGACCAGCCACACATATCTCTGCAGCACAGACCCCGGAAGCGCCCACAGATGTTCCTGCTGCTGAACACTGGGGAGGAAACTGCACAGAGAATACACTACTGTGTATACTCAGAACCGAAGTCAGTACACCCTACGCAGCTGGTATCACAGGGCCTGTCTCCAGGACAAAGTCGTTCACCACGAAACACACCATAAAATTAGTGGAGGCAATTGTCTCACCACATGCACAGATATCAACACGTGGACCTAAAGGCATGAAAAGCCTGATAACATCCCCAAAGGAACAAAGAAATGATCCAGTAACAGACATAAAAGGAAAGTAAAGCTATAAAGTGCCTGAAAAAATGTCAAAATAAAGACCTTATGAAGACAGGAAGATATGATAGAATGCAAATAAATAATTCAACAAATTTAAGAAATTATTCAATATTGAATGAAAATAAAGAGAATGTTATCATAAAAAAAAAAAAACATTTAGGGACAAGCACCTGCCATCACGGTTAAGGCAACTGGATCACATATGGCCAGCTGCTTGTTTTGAATCCCGGAGCTGGAAGCTTGACAAACATCTCAGGCACGTGTGCATGCATGCCCAAAATCCTGACAGGAGAGAGACATGGAGGAGGAGAGAAAGGTGGAGGAGGAGGAATTGTGGCATGACCATCCCCACTGGAAATCCTAGCCAGAGCAAGAGAATGTAACAGCCATCCAAATTGAGGAGAGTCAGATCTGTCTGTTTGCAGACAGCATGACCATCTATAAAAAAAAAACTCAGCCTAATCCATAGTGCAGCAATTAAGTGCTAAGTAGATTTAAAAATTGCACACACTTACACTGCAGAATACTACTCAGCCACATAGTACCTCGAGATTCTGCCCCTTGATACAAAGAGGATAGAGAAGATTGAATGCTAACTTAAATAAGCTAGACTATGAAAGACAAACATTGTATATCCCAGCTCAATATATACTAAACATCTCTACTCTATAGCAAAAACTGAAAGATTCAAAGATAAAAAAGTAGGAAGGGGAAGTGTAGGTACCAGAAACTGTATGGAAGGGGCTGTTGAAAGTGAAGGCTGGATGGGAAGGGCTCATGGGAAATAAGTACTTAACAGATACAAGAATGCAAGGTTCTTTGTTGAAAACAATGTATATGGTAACATTCTTTGATGTGTTTACAATACATCATGCATGTTTTGAAAAACCATATTATATAGCATATGCCAAAAGATCTATAACAATTGAATGTAAATAAGAGATTATAAAATTAAACAAAATGGGACCAGCAGTTAGTGTAATGGCTATGTCGCTGAACTCCCATGTAGTCGACCGCAGTTCGAGTCCTGGGTTCAGTGACTTAAACTCACGCAGGACACATGTGCATGCATGTGCAAGATCCCAAGAGAAGAATGGAGGAGAAGGGATTGTGGCATGGCCATCCCCTCTGGGGGGTGATTTCTCCCTTTCTGTCTCTCTGTTTCTCTCTGTCTTTCTGGTGAGCACACATGCCCTATAGCAAAAAAAACTCTCAAAAAACAAAAATAATTAATTAATAAAATGAAACAAAACTGTAAAAAAAGTGTATGATATTCTTGAAGGCAATATAATACCTAAGAAAACTTAAATGCTTTGTCTGTTTGATCCATCATATTTCATTGCTAGTAATCTAAGATTTTAGATAAACATACAAACATGAATATACAATAGTGTCATATACTATTTGCAATAGTTAAATTTTAACATTATTTGAAAATCTATGAGTGAATGACCTTCCCAATACAGTATGAAAGATTCATTCAGGAAAATACATTGAAGCATTCAAATTATTAAAGGGTCTGAATGAATAGGAAACTCTGATCTCATAAAAATTGTAGATTATAATCAATGTCTATAACATAAATATATTAACTGTGTTTATGGACATATTTAAGCATATGTAGCCTGAATTATTAACCATACATGTATAGAGACATGTATAAATGTATATGTAATCTTTAATAAATTCATTTCCCAACTTTATATGTATAAGAATTTTTAAAGTTCATGAAAAATAAAATGTGAAGAGTTTATTTGGGTGCAAAAGTTTTTTTTTAAATCCATATTTTTTATAATATGCATTTTCCATGAACTTTTTAAAGACAACTTGCCTTAATAAATTATGCTTTATACTGCATTTTTGTACAAAGCTCAAAGCTCATCAATTTATAATCTATAATGATGTGAGTGATCATATATATCATGTACATATATATAAATTGTGGAATTCCCTTTCCTATGCTATAGCTTGAATATGTCCCTCTGGAATTCTTATGTCCAGTTGCTGTAAGGAGATCAAGATGGTGAGAATTTGATCCCGTTATGGTGTTGAAATCTGGGACATATTGGGAGAGATTACGATGAAGGTCATTAGGGCAAAACTCCATGAATGAGTTGTGTCATGTTTCTAAGGAGAGGCGATGAGCCCAGATCAAAGCCACACTGATGGACCCAGATGTCAGGCTCTGCTGTCACCCTCTCAGCTACACCTCCCACCAGAACTGCCCTGGACCTCGAAACCCTGAGCTGAATAAATCTCTACTTCTAAAATCATCCAGTTCCAAGTATTTTATTTTATTAGCAACAAAACAGAGGAAAACACATTATTTCACTGTGATTTTTCCAAAGGAAATTTCCATATCAGATAAGTCTGAATCTTATTATATTATTATTCTGGATTAAAAGAAATACATTTAAAAAGAGAGTGACTAGTACATACCCCATGACCCTGACATTTCTTTGTTGAGTTGCAAGCTGGTCTAGCTGGAAAGGTCCTGACAATAGTGCAAACTCCTTTGTAACAAAACTACAGCAGCCAACAACATCAAAAACGTTAAAGGTAGAGAAGTGAGAAATTGTATTTGGTAAAAAATATTACATGCACAACATGCAGACAAATATTCTATTTTTCCCTTACAGAAACAGAGGTATACATTTATTGTTACATTTATTAGAATTATAAAAATCCCCACCTGTACTAATCATCTGCAATGACTAGGACCTGTGTCTTAGCACTCTCATGAATCTTTATGTTGTACACTCAGCTAGATATTTATCTTAATTTTATATTTGATTAAAACTAAAGTAACGCTTCAGGTCAAACTATGAGTTATAGATAGAACCAATTTTCAGTACAAGACCCACTCCGATTACAGACCCAATGATCTATGTTAAATACCCACGTTCTGTCATTTTTATGTTTTCTCAGATTTAATGATAAAATCTTGTCTTACTCCTTAGCACTGTAACCTGGAACAAGTTACTGAACCTTTCACACCTCAGTACATTAACCTTCGGACTAAAGATGGTAAGTAAACCTATCTGAGAATCTGAGCACAAAACAATTTGTCACACGTAAGTAAACAGATGCAGTGTCTGACAGATAGTAAATCCATTAAATAAAGCTACTATTTTAATTCCTTAAAATAATTTATAATGTAGGCTCTGTATTTCATGATAACACTCCTCTACCCAAATTTTAATCTAATTTGAATATCTTTTGAGGCATCTACTAAGATAATCTACTGGTTTTCCTCAAGTTTTCTGATGGACTAGGCAACATAGGATGAATAGCCTTTACTAAAAGATAAACTGAGTTATGATAAGATGTTAAAGAGTTTATTCGAGCAAGTAGTGACTGATGAATTGGACAGTTTTAAACCAGAACTGATTTAGAAGTGCACCTGAAAATGCGTGAGTGGGAGATTACAATAGAATGAACACAGAGGAAAAGAAGAAATACTGGATTACTTACAGTTACGTGGGTTCTTCATTTGTCTACCTCACTGGAAAATCCCTCGTTATATAACTACAAGTTAGTTAGGTATATCTGGTTGGAGAAACTGAAATTCTCTTTTTTTAAAATATAGGTACTCAGGCCAGCAAGCAGTGTGGTGCTGAGAGTGCTGGACTACCACATGGCCGACCACAGGTCGAGTCCTGGACCTAGTAGCTCGAAAATCATACCAGGTACATGCGCGTGTGCACCCAAAATCCCTGGAAAAGAATGGAGGACAAGGTATTGCAGTGTGGCCATCCCCTTGGGGGATGATTTCTCACTTTCCCTCTCTCTGTCCCTCTCTAGCAAGCACATGGACCCTATGACCAAAAATCTAACTACACATAGATAGCTAGATATAGACAGACAGACACACATATACACATACACATACACATACACATACACATACACATACACATACACATACACATACACATACACATACATATACATATACATATATAACGTACTCATAAGAAATAGCTCAGGGTAGGTTTTGCCTTTGTTTGTAAAATCAAGTAAGATTGAGGTCCCCTCATGAGGCCTCATTGATTTCTCTTAGTCAGGGGCTCTTTAGGATCAGTCTCCATTTTAACTTATTTTACCATCTTAAAAGTCCACCCTTGTCTCACATTATGGATTGATGAGGAAAAAGACAAATACCAGCCTGTTCATTGAGAGTGCTTTCATAAAATCAGTTAAAAACTACAGGTCGGGCCAGCAAGCATTCGCTGTCCACAGCACTATTTCCATTCTAGTGTTACGTAAACTTTGTCACTGAGGAGTTTATTCGAGCAAGTAGTGACTGATGAATTGGACAGTTTTAAACCAGAACTGATTTAGAAGTGCACCTGAAAATGCGTGAGTGGGAGATTACAATAGAATGAACACAGAGGAAAAGAAGAAATACTGGATTACTTACAGTTACGTGGGTTCTTCATTTGTCTACCTCACTGGAAAATCCCTCGTTATATAACTACAAGTTAGTTAGGTATATCTGGTTGGAGAAACTGAAATTCTCTTTTTTTAAAATATAGGTACTCAGGCCAGCAAGCAGTGTGGTGCTGAGAGTGCTGGACTACCACATGGCCGACCACAGGTCGAGTCCTGGACCTAGTAGCTCGAAAATCATACCAGGTACATGCGCGTGTGCACCCAAAATCCCTGGAAAAGAATGGAGGACAAGGTATTGCAGTGTGGCCATCCCCTTGGGGGATGATTTCTCACTTTCCCTCTCTCTGTCCCTCTCTAGCAAGCACATGGACCCTATGACCAAAAATCTAACTACACATAGATAGCTAGATATAGACAGACAGACACACATATACACATACACATACACATACACATACACATACACATACACATACACATACATATACATATACATATATAACGTACTCATAAGAAATAGCTCAGGGTAGGTTTTGCCTTTGTTTGTAAAATCAAGTAAGATTGAGGTCCCCTCATGAGGCCTCATTGATTTCTCTTAGTCAGGGGCTCTTTAGGATCAGTCTCCATTTTAACTTATTTTACCATCTTAAAAGTCCACCCTTGTCTCACATTATGGATTGATGAGGAAAAAGACAAATACCAGCCTGTTCATTGAGAGTGCTTTCATAAAATCAGTTAAAAACTACAGGTCGGGCCAGCAAGCATTCGCTGTCCACAGCACTATTTCCATTCTAGTGTTACGTAAACTTTGTCACTGAGGCAATAATAGGTCAGTCACACTTCACTGGGTGGTTCCTGAAGGAAACAGAAGCCAAGGAATGTTAAGACCCATGCCTCTGACATCACTTCCTTCAGGTCAACTCATCAATGTGTAGCTGGATCTTCTGCAACCAACGAGAAATGTGGAAGACACTATAAAGCACTTAGTTCTCGCCACTGCAAGGGATTATGTTTCGACTATATATCAACATATGCAACTGTCCTCTTCAAAGAAGAGACACAAACAGTGTCCCAAAGGAGTCACATCATAGTTTGGGGGGTGAGGTGGGGTGTGGAATTCCTAACATCTAAAAATCCCTAACTAAAAATCTGGTTTTTAAGGGGAACTATGTGGTCTAGGCAAGCATAGTTTTTCTTAGTCCTGTGTATAAAAATGAGTAAGTAAAAGACAGTCGGCTTTATTTTTTTATTCATTGATTAGCTTATCGATTACATGCCCCATACCTACATCCTTCTGATACCGAAATTATTGCATTGAGGTGTGATGTCGCTTCCAGACTACCTAGATGAGCTAGGATCCGTTTGGTAAACTTTTACCCTCTCTTTGTTAGTCCTATAACCAACAAATTCAAAGAACCTTTCTATGACAATCAATAGTAAGCAAACTTAGAGTGCTGGAATAATGCCTATTTCCAGATAGTATATTCTTTGCTTAATATATCACTATTAAAATTTATTAGTGTTTCATCTAGAAGTTTTATTAGAATTGTAAGGAAAATACTCATGCTATTCTTCAGGTTGATAAATAGCAAATGAAGTCTGTCTTCTATCTATATCCATCTTCATACAGGCATAGATAGACATACAAGTAGATGTGTTCAATTTTTTACACAGGACACAAAGTTAATTAGGGCGAATTTAAAGCACTCTACTTTCCAAGAGCTCCTAAATTTATTGAGCAATGGTAATAATCAATGAAAACAAAGTATACCTTTGGTGAGTTTGAAAATAGTCACAGAACGATTCCAAATCAAATCAACAGGCCTGGAATATACAAAAGTCTCTTCTTCCTCAATAAATGTGAGTAAAGAGTAATCAAAAAGAAGTGATTTGCGAAGGAGAGGTTTAAGAACACCCTGGGATTTCAAAACAACATGGAAGGCCACTGTTGGTAAGATGAAGTAGGAGAGCATGCCCTGGATTACAACGGCAGAGCAGAGAGCCTAGCTGATCAGCGGACATTGCTCTAGAAGAGCTGCAGCCTCAGGGGCATGAGGACAACCCCAGAAAGAGGAGCTGCAGAGGCCAGAATGAGAAGAGTGGCGCCAGGTAGCAGTACCAGTGCAGGTGTGCCCCCAGAACAAGAGCTCTCAGCACTCCCCATCACCTACGCCATCCCAGCACTCTATCTCAGTTACAGGACGCGGTCCACACCACACTTGATCCCAGGGGAGAAAATTTAGAAAAGCATTTCTTCGCAAAAGAACTAAATAGTTAGTGACCACCGAATTCAGCTTTGTAGAGGGGCTTGTCATCTTTTAGATAAGCTTGCCAGTTAAACTGTCACAAAGCATCACAGCATGCGGGTCAGTTTCCAAAACGGAGACGGTCACTGGAACACCCCCACCACATGGGGAAAATTCATGGTTAGGGCTTTTATTAAAGAGAGTCTGGGATCAAAAAGTCATGTTAGCTCAAGGTTCCTCCTGTGTTGATCAAAAAGGCCAAAACAATTACCTGAGTCATATTTAAAGGCATCAGAGCTCCTTGAATGCCTGAATGTAACTCCAACTGCAATTCCCAACCGGGAGAACCTTTCAAAAGTAAGGTATGGGTAGTCTGCCTCTTCTCATGCCTTTTATGTCCTTTCCTTCTTTCCTCCCTCTCTTTCCTTCCCCCTTTATTTCCTCTACTTTCTTTGTTCTCTTACTGTGTTTTTTACTTGCTGGGGACACTAGCCCTTTAGACAGGAGTAATGAGTGAACTGCCCAGGCAGAGGATCTCTG